TTGCTGGGTTTCATTAGTGGGCCAAGAGCAGAGACTAGAAGGGTAAGAGAAAAATCCATTGTTTTTAATAAGCCTAACTGAATCAAAGTTACTTGAAAACAGATCTGGTTAAACATATGGCTCTTTTAGATACATGGTAACTCTAAGTCTTGGGTTCTTTAGAGTCCTGGGTATAAGGATCTTAGATGCTTTCAACACAGGAAGGATTTCAAATCGTTTAGCATCCTCTCAGAGATAAGGTAGTGGCCTAGCTAACAAAGGCTTTGAAAGTAGCACTGTAAAACCTAGGGTCAGACAACCCTTCCCCTCCAAGTTTTCTTCCTGCTTTTTTTCAGCATCCTTTTCTTTCTTCCTCATTTCCCCTCTACCTTCAGAACTACTAGCTCTTGGAAAGGATAAATGACTGATGTCCTTGACTCCCCCAAGCCTCTGCTACACTTTTCTTTCTTACCCTTCCAAAACAAAAAGATCTTAGGGAGGGCCTTTCAAACAGAAATGGCCTCAAGACCGCAGAGCAAGTAAACACAGGGATTTGCTGAGCCCAAAACGATGGACTCTCCAAAAGGGAGGGGCTGCCTCTTACTATATTAACCGTAAATGTATTTTTTTTTTAAATTCAGCTGAATAATCTCATATCGAAACAGGATTACGATCAATGTGTTTTAGGCTCAAGGGCTGCTGTTCACACTTCCTGTTTTCCCAGCGATCTATCACGATGTATTTATGAAAAGTCAATCCCATCAGTTACTTAGCCCGTCCTTAGGAAATTCCGTGTACTTCCTCCAGGCATTCCACCCCTTTTGAAACATAGATCTAAAAAGAACCCTTCAAGGGGAAAATGGGGTCATTTGGGTTTTAGAACAATTCTTTAACTTTTATTTGGTATGGAAGCCGTGAGTTTTAAAATAGGATGTTCTCATGTCTTCTCAGTATAAAATATCTTAAGTTATTCAGGATGCTGACGCGAAGCACTCACAATATCACAATTAAAACAAATGAGATAAAAAAAATCAGAACTCCAATCTGCATTTAAAAAAAAAAGCTACTTATGTATGCTAACGTATAGCGGGACCCTTAAGTACCCAAGCAGTCAGTCCAAAAAATGAAAGCAATGCCCCCTCTTTCCCAAGTATAAGCACCCTGAGTTCTAATTTCAGCCACAGTCTTGATTTGTAGTTAATTCTGTGAAGAATGTGGAGTAAAGATGCGTATATGTCTATGTACTGACCCAGAGCCCCTGGTTTGGGAGCTCTATGTGTTAATATACATATTCAGCTACACACGTATTTATAGATACATACATATTTATAATATACATTATATATACACACATAGTTTTATCTACACACACTAATGTCTTCTAAGAATCATGTCAGTTTTTTATAATTTTTGTGTTTTATTTCTCTCTCTCTCTTTCAACTCTTAGATGGAAAAGAAAAACTCAAAGCACCAAGCTGTTTAATAGTTTTCTCAGGATCGTAGAAGAAAGAGAACTGAGGTATTGGACTGGACGGTCAGCAATCTCCCTAATGGGTCCCCGAGGGCCGTCTCTAGGTATCTGAAATAACGAGGGATAGCCTTGAACACCTTGAAATGCCAGTGCCCCCAGGCTCTGTAGCTTCGTGATAGCTTCTGTAAGGATATCATTTCATACATATATACACACACACACACACACATATGTATACGTGTGTGTGTGTGTGTGTGTGTGTGTGTGTATAAGAACCCTGGTTGCACAGTGGTTAACTGCCACGGCTGCTAACTAAAAGTGGGCAGTTTGAATCCACCAGCCGCTCCTTGGAAACCCTGTGGGGCAGTTCTACTACCCCACAGGGTTGCTATGAGTTGGAATTGACTTGACGGCAACGAGTTTGTTGGGTTTTTTTTTTGGTATATATACATATAAATACATGTATATATATATATATATTTTTTTTTTTTTTCTTTTTTCTTCTCATTTCACCTAATCTCTCCCTCTTGGCCTCAAACCTCTCCAGCTCTCTGGACCTCATATTATCCCCTCTGCAAATGAGGGGGTTAGGTAAGACTTCTCTAAAGGGGACTTGCAGCTCAAACAATGTGGCATCGCCAGGGTTACTTCTCAGGGTCAGGGGGACAATGGAGACACTGGAAGACCCCCTACAGCCTACAGGCTATACTTTTTATCCTTTGAATTTGACCTCAAGGTTTCCAGGTGGGGGATACTTTACTAATGTCTACATTTCTGAGGCAGAGGTGAAAACTACAGCTAGAAGTAAGCTGGGTATATCTACAGGACTTATAAGAACAATGCTCTCATTTATGCAAATCACACTTGGGATGGATGCTTATGGGCAGGAAACACAAATCTGGAAAACTTATAAAATATAATCTCTTTAGAAGTTGAGCTATGGTTTCCAAAAAAAGTCAGCCGTAATCTTCAAATCACTGCCATTCCAAATTAAAAATGATTCTCCCCATTACTTAGGATTTCTCTCTGTCTCATACATACACACACATACACACCTCAAAAAAGAAAAGAAAAATAATCTACTCATCATTAACAGGAAAGGTTAACTGTTACCCACGAGAGGACAGAAGAATATTTGTTTAAAAATGTTCCTGCTACTCAGACTGCAGAACCAACAGAGTTTAGGGAAAGGGTTTTCTTCATCTGGTAAATGGAAGTTTGGTTTTAGTTCACTGGTTGGGTGATTCAGAGCAACTCATAAGGCTTCATTAAGTTTGAATGACTTTCTCCCCCTCCCCTGCAGTAATCGTGGGCTCTTCCAGGAGATGACTGGAGTGGAAGCTGATCTCAACACAATGCTGTGAAACGTGGTCACAGAGAATGAAGACTCTGCTGCCCAGCCCTGGGCTCTGCCAGCCGGCGCTTCTCAGTCTGAACTGCATTCAAAACACAACAGCAAGAACGAATGGCTCCAGGATACACCACCTACCATTTGTGTTCTTGCCTAACATTTAAGCAAGTCTATCTCTTTGAATTTATCCTTCTCTGAGCTCTATTTCCAGAAAACAGAGTCAGAGGGGAGAAAAGAATTCTTAAAAGGCTTTTCTAGGCTACTCATCCATCTGTTTTATCCTTAAAACGCAGGGAAGCTCAACCTTAAGAAGTTAAAGCAAAAAGCAAACAAAATGAAAAACACATCACACTTGGTAAGCAGAAACCTCTCCCAAAGCACCTCCATTTTAGGTATGGTATTTTAATTAAGCAATGGAGCACATTCTATTTGCTGAACAGGAATTATTTCTAAGGAGCCAAAACACATTTATTGATTCCTTCACTTTAGCTGATTTCTACAGATGAATCTCTCTGTAACTATAAATCCTGCTTGCTGACATCTTTCTCTAAAGAACACGCCCTTGCTTCAGCACATGAAATCTATCTGAACGCAGCCATCTCACCTCCCCTTTAACTCTTCGGGCTACAGAGAAACAAATAAAAGTGTCATAAAAGCATTTCAGAGAGTCTCTGCCAAGCAAGCCACCTCACAAACAAGACTGCAGTTTATGCTGCTCTGAGCAAGAAGTGGAGAGGCTGGGCCAAAGTGTCAACACAGAACCAAGTGGGATTACAAATCCTCTGTCTTTCGTCTTGCAAACACACACACGCACACACACGCATGCACACGCACGCACACACACGCGCACGCACACACGCGCGCGCGCACACACACGCACTCACGCAGTCTGGGTTGTCTTTATTTAGCCTTTCAGTGGCAAGCTTCCCAATCACTTGAAAGCAATCAAAGGGCAATAATTAACGTGCATTTACTTTCCTATAGAAAACTTCCCCAGCAAGCTGTGACAAAGCTAAGGTAACCAGGCATCTGTGAGTTACGCTTTATCCCCTTTTAAAGTCTCATGGCAACATGCCTTGGGAATGAGGCCTATCATTAAAGAATGTTTAGCTGGAACCTCCATTCTTTCATTTAATGACTCCAAACACCCAGCTTTTATTTAGACCCAAAGATAGCCCATCTCCCAGTGACTTCCACGCACACACATACACACACCCCAGAGATAAAACAAAGCTGAGAAGAATTTACTGGGTGCAGAATGAGAAATCGTATCCTTGCCTGGCTCAGGTGCTTGCTATTATAAACTATGACTAAGAGACATGAATTTCTCTATGATGCAACTCTCAAGAGAGGCAGCATTTTCTCCAGGCCGCTCTTAAACCTGCTCGTTCGCCAGTGACTAATGCTCTCTAGAGCTGCCCTGGGCTGCTCAAATTTCATCAGCCAGCTTTGTCCTTGAGGGCTCTGCCTGGACCACAAACGCCCCCAAACCTGTGGAGGGCAACCCTGGAATATCAGTGCACATCTAGCCACGCCCCTGCTGGCACTGAGAGCCATCTTTTCTCCTCCCTACTGCATTTTGTTATCTCAAGTAATGGGCACTTAATGACCATTTGAAGAAAACAGTTTTACCCTTCTCTGAATGGTAGTCACCGCAGCCACATGAAAAACAAGAGTAAGTAAACCAGGTCACTCTACAATCGCCCTTTGTCAACTTAGAAACAACATCAACCACACGTTTGGGTGAAACCACAATTAACTGGACTCTTCCATGAACTAGTTTCTGCACCTTTAAAAGAAAGAAATACGTCCGGTTCATGATTCGCAAAACAAACCAGTGAAAGCTGGAAGATGTCTGACCGATGGACATTCAGTCCAACAGCTAACATATGATGCCAATTCATTTATAACTCTGATCTTGAAGGCTTGTAATATTCTTCTTAGGCCAAAAGAAATATAGGACGAATTATGATCAGTTATCTTACCTGCAATGGAATGAAAAGCACTTACGAATGATATCAATATAGAACAAAACAGAAGTTTTCAAGGTTAATTCTGAACTACTGGGGAAAAAAAAAAAAAATTCATTCCCAATCTGCCCAAATCTGCTAGTTACAGCTGAAAAGAATGTTCTGGCCATGGATGGTCCAAGACCAGACAATTTCAGAACAAACGTGCCACCAGCAGAAAGGTACTTACAGTTATCAGACTGAAAATCTGGGACAAATTGTTCATCATCAGGTACTTGTGCTGGAAAAGAGATTTTTATGTTAGACCTTTTAAGTTTTATTTAAAAAGCACTGCAACATGTTTTGTATGGGAAATAGGACAGCCGGGACACTTGCCTTCAGCTAACCAGGCCTCTTGAAGTTGACTGAGATCTTGAAACAACTCTGGAATTAAAAACAGAAGACCCCCAAATGAGGGAAATTCCTCAGTTAGGGAGGAAGCGTCTACATGCCGTTTACACTGGCAGCGATTTAAGGACGCCAATCACAACGAAAGAGGGGAGAGCTTCCGTACCTTCAGAATCATGAGCCAGATCTGTGTCCAAAAACTTCCTCTTTCTGTCAATCACAGGCCGGCCTCTACATTCCTCTGATCGAGATTTCTGAAAGAAGCCAACAGACAGTGAAGGCTTGAGGGTAATAAAAGGGTCGGAAAGGTTGGGACCACTAAACCAACAGGAGAGGACTCCTATTTGAAGAGGGAGGACAAAACAAACCGAAAGCCACATAAACTTACCCCTGGGACCATAAAAGGGACTTGCTGATCATAAAACCCATCCATGGCGCCGCCAAGTTCTCTAATATCACTTTGAAAGGTTTCAGCATTGAGTAGTTTCTGGGGGCAAAGGGGTCCTCCTGTAATACGAATTTGGAAGATTTTAACGAGAGAAGAAACAAGAGAGAGAGCAATGAAGTCATTTATACTGCTCTTCCTTTAGGGCTGTGCAAAACCACTACCTTTCTCTGAAGCCCTAAAGCCTGCCCAAGGTGTGAGCTTTACAGACCAACACAAGGCTTGATTAACGGCATCAAACGTGCACAATGTACTTATGCCCTCTCTCTCTCTCTGGATCAGTTATGATTATAGGTTTGCGACTGCTTCTCCCCTCTTAAAAAAAAGAACTTATTTTCATTATAAAAGGGTGATTTCCAGATTCTTCCATATAGCAGATCTTCCGGGGTATTTGTAGCCTTTGGTTTTTTTTTTTTTTTTTAAAGATAATTAAACTTTTGACAGTACAGTGACAGGAAGTAGAGAAACTGGGTTTAAGTATTCTCCATCATTGGCAATTAAGAATCTGACATACACAGTGCTTCTAAAAGTATTTTGTAGGTCAATGGTAAAATACTATATATAGATCCAGGAATATATCGGTCCCAGGCACACTTATCTCCCACACACAACTCTGTATTTAAAAAAAAAAAAAAAAAAAAATCTCTGTCCAAACACAGGTGTAGCATCTTAATGTAAAAAATATCTCTATGGCAACTTGTAGAGACATCTGATATCTCCAACTTCAAAAAGAAAGGAATTATCTTTGACAAGTAACAGATAAAGGAAACTGCGTTCCGCCGCACATACTCTAAATGTATCTCTACCACGGGTGTTAAAAAAAAAAGAATGAAAAGCAAAAGATCCATAAAAAGAAAATTCAGTTTGTTTCTTACAGTGAAGTCGATTTTCCCAGACATGCCAAAGAGGGGAAAAATTAAACTCATTTCAGCATTGGCAAGTGTTAGGGAAGTACTGGACTAGAGGCTGGAGGAGAAAGGTCAAAAGAGAGAGAGACCTCTTCTAATTTGGGAGGAACGAGGTGACAGTTTTAGGAAGGTACCATCCTCCCGGACGCTTTGTTTTTCTCTCCAAGTAAAAATGCAGTTAAGTCAACAAAATGGAGGAAAACATTAATTTCACTCACCCCCAAGCTCGCGGCAATACAAAATAGTTTTTGTTTAACTTGTATATACATCTTAAGAGGGTACTTTTTCCCAGTGGACAATCCCATCCAATTGTGTTTTTCACACTGCGTGGAGCCTATCACATTTTCATAACCAAGTAGGATACAAGGAGACCCTTCACGGCCAGCCTCCTCTCAGCACATTGGCCCAAGTAATCAGATACTTTTCAAAGTCAAAGAGAAAAAGGGAGAGAAGTGAAATAGCACACAGTCCATTAACTTCCTAGAAAAACACTCCCTTCAGCCTGCCTTCGTACCTTCCAAACAGCGCTAGAACTTCCAGAATGAAGCCTCCCTCTCCAATGTCACCCGCAAGCAAAATGAGAGCAACCTCAGCAGTGACTTTAGGGGCATGAAAACCAGCCCCGTGTAGACTTCAGAAATCTGTCATCTGAAAGAGCGGCCTTAAGAACTCTGTAAATGTTTGCTGGGGGTAGAAGACAGGAGGGGAGAGATATTTCCTGAGCCTCGTGATGACATACGTTGCAAAACACCTCACCCACGAATAACAAATATATCTTTAATAAAAAATAAACTGCCATAAACGAACCCAAAAGAGGCATCGAGGATCTTTGAAGCAGCTCTCAGAGTTCAAGGGCTAGAAAAATTGTGCTCAAAGTGTCATTAAAAAAAAAAAAAAAAAGCCTGCAGGGCAGGCTCGAGTTCATCCAGGAGTTTAAACCACTTCCGTTGTGTCCCCCCTTGCGGGTGCCCCCAGGAAAGCTCGCCCAGGGCGGCGCGGCGCACTCGCGCCCCTCCCCCGCGGCGCGCAGCGGGCCTGGTTTTATGAATGGAGAGCGAGCCGCGGCCGCCACACCAGGTAGAAGCTGTAACTGGATCCCTCGCGCTGGGCCCCATTCACAAAACAAGACACACTTCCACCCAGTTCCCAGCCGTCCCCATTCATGAAAACTCCTTCGGCTGCGCCCCCGCCCCCACTCCCAACGCACGCCCAGCCTCCGACGCAGGCCCCTCACCCCAGCGTTTTAGGAAGTAAGCTCAATGCTTCATTCACAGAAAGGGAAAGGAAAAAAAAAAAAAACCCAGCCGCAGGCAGCAGCGAGCCAACCAAAGAAACCCGCTTCATTCATAAAGTCACCCACATTCAGGAAAACGAGCTGCGGCGTCGGCGCTACCACCCCCCCAAAAAAAACCAAACATCTCTCCTGGGCACCCCCTTTTCGACCAGGGGTTCAGTTCCCCCAGAGGCCCCCTCCCCTCCGGAAATGCGGCCAGACCCCTAATCTCTGGGGCTCCAGCATCTCTCCGCACCCCCCCATTTTTTTCCACCATCCGCAGGCCGATGCTCCGATGCTCCCCAATTTCTCAGTCTGCTGGGGCGTAAGGAGGAGGAGTGGGTGTCCACTCTCCACCACCTGGAACTTGCAAGGCTGCATAAGTTCCTGGCCGATCCCCAACCCCCGCAGGCTGCACATGCCTGTGTCACTTAACCCTCTCCGGTGCCCGGGGGGGGGGCATCGCGGCGCAAACAACCGCTCCCCCCCCCCGAGCTGCTTCCCACCCCCTCCTCCAACTGCAAAGCTTCACCCGCCGTCTCTTCTCGCGAGCCTCCAAGTCCCCCCGGGGCTCTCCGATCTCAAGGGACGGGAGCCCGCCGCTCCGCGCCCCTACCCCCACCCCGGAGCCCCCGCACCTCGCGCCCCGCATGCCTCCCCCGCGACGCGCAGAAACCCGCTCGCAGCGCGCTCCGGAACCGTTAGCCGCCCCCGCCCTACACGTCCCAGGAATCGAACTGGACGAACCGGGCCGGGCCACGGGAGCAGGGGGCGGTCAGCGCCGGAGGGCTCGCCCCTGACATAAAGTGCACCCGACTCCAAGGACTGCGAATCAGCCCGTGAACTCTCGGCCACCGGGCCCTTCCGACCTGCTCCGGCCGCCCCCTCACCTGAGGCGGTGGCTCTCAGCTTGCAGCGGTCCCGGCGGCGCAGGCGCGCTCACGCACGCGCGCACCGGGCCTGGGCGCCGAGGCGAAAGGCTGGGCTGAACCGCGCTCCGAAGACGCTGAACCGCTCCGCGCACCGGCGCCGGGACTCTGCGCCGCAGCTGCCAACCAGGCTGGAGCGCTGGCCCGGCCCCCAGCAGCCCCCGGCTCCGCCGGCCGCTATTGGCCGGCGGCCCTAGCCCAGCCTCGTTCCTATTGGCCCGGGACCGCTACCGCGGTTGTCCATCACTCCTTGTTTACCCTGTCTGCGGACAAATCCAGCCGAGCCGCCCCACCAACTCCGGCTCCCATTGGCCAACGGCGCGTCCCTCCCCACCCCGTCAGGGTCTGCTTTACATAATATATGCACCGGGGGCTATTGTCCAATCAGCGCAGGCTTGTTTATATAATGACTATAAGGACGTTTTTCATTCATAAAAAACGTGACCTGAGGGGGAAGCTTAGCTGAGTCAGTGAAGCACTTAAAGGGGCCGAGGCCGGGAGAAGCAGCTGGGACTGCCCTCCTGGCCGCTGTCCCGGCTGTGTACCGAGGCACAGCACCCCGAGCCCCGCTCGTCCCCACCCTTGTTCCGGCAAGCCCACGGCCGGGCTGGGGCCGCCGGGCGCCAGACGCTCGCAGCTGCAGCGCGAAGCAAAGTTATCATTTTAGGATTCAGGCGAGAGAAATTCGTCATTCTACCCAGAAAGAAACTCGCTGACCGACCTGGCGTCCGGCCCACAGAAACAGAAAACGGAAACCGAGCCCTCTAATCTTAGCTACCTTCCAGAGAGGCCTTAATTTCTTTTAACCAGGTTTCCAGTCGGGAAGAATAAGCAGTGTCTCCGTTTAACGTCTGAGCTTACAAACAGATTCTAGTTCCTATTTTACTGGCAAGGCCTAAAGCCCAACCAAATCCCAAATTTCTCCCCGTGTCGGTCACCTACGCCAGAGTGGGTTCAAGACCCCCAGTAAGAGAGGGTCGGGACTCAAGAAATGCTCTCCCGGGCCAGCACCAGCCAGTCAGCCCACTAGAAACACGAATTCCTCCAAACAGCACGCAGAGTCAGGCCGCCTGCCTCCCGGGCTCTTGTTTTCCACTTAAGTGTTGAATGCGAGATGGCGCGTTTGCGAGCTAGATCCCGTGCAGCTGGGAAGGAAGCGATCGGGCCCTAACTGCAATTGCTGAGATTCTTCTCAGGGTGTTCCAGGAAGCAAGCAATCCTCTCTCCCCCGTGCGCCCCTCTGCCCCCCTCCAGTGCCGGCCGTGGGGCGGCGCTCTGCTCTCCCGCAGGCTGGGGGAGTCTCGGAGGCGAGCTCTCCTGTTCGCCTTCTGCTGGTGTGCCCTGCCATTCACCCCGAGTGGCCGCGGTGCGGAGGAAGATGACAAAGGTTAGGGGAAAGCCGCTAGCAAAGGCGACCCAGCGTGGCCAGCCCTGCAGCTGCCTCCCCCCCACCCCAATTCAGAATGCAGTGTGGACTTTTTTTTTTAATAAAAAATTGCTCACCTTCTTTTTTGCCTCTACACAGTCTTAAAGTGGGAGCTTGGTTTGTCGTTTATAGCCGAAGAAATGTTTGCACGCACTTTAAGGAGCCTGGAGCAGCGGGATGAGTCCTGGACCCAGCACTAACCAGTTATGAGCTGGGAGAGGCTGGGATGGACATGAAGTGAGGGGTAGGAACGTGCTTTGAACTTGTTGCCAAGCAATTCCTTGATATTTAATTTCCTAGCTGAGCATTTTGCTTCTAACCCTGGTTCTAATAAAGCTTCTCCTTAGCGCTTCTCTTCATTCCCCAGGTAGGGTCACCTCTGTTTGGTGGCTGAAGATTTTACCCTAGTCCATTGGGCTTCCGGCTTATTCCTGACCACGCTGTGATTGTTCATTCAGAGGGTTCTATCTCCCCAGCTAGAGGAAGCGCCAGTTAGCTCCCAAATCCTCCTCCTGCCCAGCTTTGTCTACCCCCATTCCACCCCTATCTTATCCCATCTCATTCTACTCTCTGATCTATTTCTCAAGAAGAGCTTTATTATCCTCTTCACTGAAGTCTCTCAGGTCCCAGGCATCAGGAAGGCCTGCAGCCCACAGGACCCCTGTCCTCACCATATAAGCCATAGAACATCAATCACAGAGGCGGCCTCCACAGGGGCAAACTTGCTGCCTGGAGGGTGGCTCCAGTGACCCTCGCATCCAGCAAAAGCTCTTCCCACTTGGGAAGAGAAGCTGGGTGTTTTGGGATTGTTGTTGTTTACTGCCTTGCAGCGGGCCCTGACTCACGGTGACCCCATGCACCCCAGAAGGAACGCACTGTGGGCTGGGCCTGCACCAACCCCGTGATAGGCTGCTCCACGGAAACCTCTTTAGCATCATAGCAAATTTTTGGGTTAAATAGTGGCTACATTGGGGTGAAGTCCCTGGGTGGTGCTAACCAAAAGGCTCAAGTTGGAGTCCACCCAGAGATGCCTCGGAAGAAAGGACTGGCGATCGACTTGTGAAAACTCGATGAAGCACAATGCTACTCTGACATATACAGGGTTGCCATGACTCGGGGTTGACTGGATGGCAATTGTTTTTTTTTTTAAGTTGGGGCAAAGGAGGAGTTGAGGGATGGGTTTTTACACAAGAGTTGTCATAGGCAGAAGATCATGTTCAGGGATTTTGCACCAGAACAGAGCTTTTACCAATTTACTATTTAGTCAACCTGTAAACATTTATTTTGCATCAAATATTCAGCCAGATTCTGTGCTAGGCAAAAAAGCTACAGAGATGGATACAATCCAGTGTTGGCCTTGAAGGAGCCTACAATCTTACTGCACGCTTTCAGTAGCTGAGGTCTACCGAGCACTTAATATATGACCTGTTTGTGCCATACACAGTTTTCCACAGACTCTCTCATTCAATCCTCTGAATAACCTGAAGAGGGCTGTACTATTACTGAGGCACAGAGAGGTTAAGTAACTTGCCCATAGTCACAGAGCTACTAGGTTGCTATCCTTGGATAAGAACAAACGCAGTCAGGCTTCAGAGCCCATATGGGGGAGACTTATGCCTGGGTTGCTCAACAAACCACCAGGAAACATTATTTGAGCCCAGAGTTATAAAGGACTGAAATGGAGGCAGATACACCGGGAGGCAGACTTCAGCTCAGCATAGTGTTAGGAGCTGTGGTGCTGGAGCCCTGGTGATGCAATGGTTAAGAGCTTGGCTGCTCACCAAAAGGTCGGCAGTTAAAATCCACCAGCTGCTCCTTGGAAACCCTATGGGGCAGTTCTACTCTGTCCTACAGGGTTGCTATGAGTCGGAATTGACTCGCCGGCAATGGTTTTTTTTTTTTTTTTTAAATAGTGTTAGGAAAGTTTGGAGTGGTCCAACAAGGGACTACTGTGGCTGGTAATGATCCTCCTGCCACTGGAGGCATTTATGCAGAAACAGCTGGGGTGGTGTAGAGCGATTATGGCACTGGGATGAACTCTAAGGATTGTTCCAGCTCCGAGATTCTGTGATTCTGGAAATTTGGAGCTTTGTGTTGGACAGAGTAGGTGAGACCCTGGCACGGCCACCTTGACTCTAACACGAAGTGTGAAGGTGTGGCTTGGGATGGCCTTGCCAGGCCAACTCCTGGGCCCGGGGGGTTTCTAATTGGTAAATGTTCGCTGATGTCTTCACTCCTTTTCCTTCTGCTCCTTAGTGGCTTAACTTCCCCCACCCACTCCTCTCCCCCTCTTGTTATCTCTGCCTTCATAAGAGCCAAGGGTCAGTTTAGAAGCTGTTTGTCTAGTACATGGAGTCTTTCCTCCTAAGAACGTGACTTACATTGGAGGTTTTGGTGAACATGTGTTTTGATACACCATTTCCTCTGCTCCAGGAGAGAAACAGGATTGGGAAAGAAAACGAAAAGAGAGACCAGCCCTCTGAGACAGCCGCCTGGTGTCCTCTGGCAATAGCACAGCCCCGTTAATCACTACAGGACAACTAGACCCTTGTTCTTTCAACTCAATTCGCAGCGTGTCTTCAGGGAAGCAACAGGGAAGGATAGAAAAGCAAGCACCTTGCTCCAAGCCTGAAAGCGTCTGCTTCTCTTTAGAGGACTTCTTTGAAAGATGTTTCCTAAAATGCCAAAAGCAAGTTGAAATATAAAGCAAGCGACCAAAACGGTGGCAGGGAAACGTCTGTCTGGAGGGCGGGAGCCCAGCTAGAGGATGGGGTGTGGGTGACATGGCCCACGGGTGCCATTTCCCATTCTTGTATAATGTGAAGGAAAGGGCTTGAGGACAGGGTCAAAAAGGTATGGAAATGCTTTCCTTATCTCCAAGAGAGAGATAAAGAACTCTACCTGACTGAGAAACCAAAACCAAAACAGAACAAAAAAAAAAACAAACCCATTGCCGTCAAGCTGATTCCAAATTCATAGCGACCCTATAGGATAGAGTAGAACCGCCCCATAGAGTTTCCAAGGTGGATTCGACCTGCCTAGCTTTTGGTTAGCAGCCGAGCTCTTAACCACTGCGTCACCAGGGCTCCATCTGACTGATACACTTTCCTTTCTAAAATTCAGAAATAAATGCCCTAAAAACTGAAGGGGGAAAAAAATCTTTTCGATTAAATGTCTTTTTACAAATGGTCAACAATTAGTTTCAAACAAAGATGAGAGTATAAGGGGACTGGGAAACTAGACTGACGGAAACAGAACAACCAGAACGGAAATAATGAGAATGCTTCTGCATTGTAAAGAACGGAACCAATGTCACTGAACAATTTGTGTAGAAATTGTTGAATGGGAACCTAAATTGCTGTGTAAACCTTCACCAAAAACACAACAAAGTATTATTTAAAAAACAAAACAAAACAAAAAACCTCTTTAAACAAAAAGGGGCCATATTGTCTTTAGGGTGCCTGACAGTGAGAGAATAATATTAGCTAACAGTTATTTAGAATGAGCCAGATACTGTTCTAAACACTTTACATGTATTGACACATTTAACCCAACAACAGTCTTGTGTGGGAGATAATTTATTATCACATCTGCTTTTCTCAGATGAGGAGGCTTAGGTTCAGAAAGGCTCCAGGTTACACAGCTCCAGGTTACACAGCTGGCTGATGGTAAGAGGCGGAGGTGTGGCCGGGCAGGTTCCTGCCGTG